CTCTCTCTCTCTCTCTCTCTCTCTCTCTCTCTCTCTCTCTCTCTCTCTCTCTCTCTCTCTCTCTCTCTCTCTCTCTCTCTCTCTCTCTCATCCTGACCCTTCCACTTGCCACTCGTTACACTGCATTGCTCTCTCTCTCTCTCTCTCTCTCTCTCTCTCTCTGTGTGTGCATTGCGCTACTTGCCGAGCTGAGAGATTAGCTCGATCCTTGACAAGGGGCGAGCTTCCTCCTGCCAGCCGCACTTCTTCCTTGAGAAGGATCAGATGACACGGAGCAGTGCACCTTCGCCCTTCCATGTAGATGCCACTTTTATAAAAGCCCTTCTCCAGGCGGCGATGAGTGAACTTCAGGGCCAAGACCAGAGAAAGGTGCAACTTTGATAAAACCCCTGCTCCAGGCTGCACCGCACAGGCAGCTGCGTTGGCAGCAGCAACACACGTCAATGCGCGCGTGTTTTCCGTGCAATGTCTCACTCGTCAAGCCTCTCCCAACGACACCTGATTGATAACCCACCGCAGCCACGTATCGCACACACTGCTCTCTAAACTGACGCATCATAGCAACTTCATCCATTGCCATTTCCACCAATCTCAACACCTCTCTCTCTCTCTCTCTCTCGGTCTCTCTCTCACGATATGCCCGTATCAAGGGAACGTGTCATCCTATTCAGTTCAGGAAGAGTGCATCAAATCCGTGTTCTGTCCCATTTGAAAGACGGGCATCCGAAGATGCTGCTTTCACTTTCTTCAAGTCTTCAAATCTGAACCTAGTCTCCATTTCGTGTAAGCTTCGGATACAAGCTGTTGGATATATTAGCTTCGGATAAGCTAAAGACGACTCAGCACAGCGGCTAGACGATGACAGATCGCTCTATGTTCACAACAACGCTCCTACAGAGAACGACGAGAAAATAAAAGCAAAATCTGCTCTCTCGTCTCCAACGCCGAAGAACACACATCTACTTCAAATAAAAGCCACAATGGCCCGTGGCAGCACCCATAGCCAAGCTGGCTGGGGGGGGCGGCATCCATAGCCCAGCTGGCCCGCGACAGCAGCCATAGCCAAGCTGGCTCGTGGCAGCAGCCATAGCCAAGGAGGGCGGGGGCAGCAGCCAACCGGTATAACAACTCGCTCACTGTCTCTTTCGGCCTTGCATAGAGATCTATCAAGACGGGAAAGCAGTCCACGTTTGCAAAGAACGAGATGGTTCGGTCGGCTGGCCGTATCAGACCGACCCAGCTGAATTAAATTACCCAACCCACACACCCCTTCCAGTTCAGATTCGCATCGACATTATGCTCCAGAGCGTGAAATCCAGTGCCCCCGCCCGCTCTCCGTCCCCTTGGTCTCCGCCCTCACAGATGCACGCTTGTGCACACACGGCGACACAGAGAGAGAGAGAGAGAGAGAGAGAGAGAGAAAAGATGAGCAACGTCTCTCTCTGTCAATCTTCGGCCTAAACAAACAAACAAAAGCAAGGTCAGCAAAATGGACAAGTCCCAAAAAAGGAGGACTGCCACACACTTCTCCCCCCCCCCCTCTCTATGCCGCAGGCAGTCGTCAACATAAATAAGACACAGCCAGCATCAACATCTCCCACCCACTGTTAATGCAACTGGCGTTCACCAACCTACATAAATACACATCCCACCCACCCATCTACCCATCCATCTACCCATCCATCATCGCCATTCTTCCCTTCCTAGTTCCGGAGGGCGAGGCCCCACCCACCTCGCTAATCCCTTCTCCTCTTCCACACCATTATCATTATCAGTCTTCCTTCCCCTCCCCTCCCTCCCCCCCTCCTCTCTCTCTCTCTCTCCGTGCATAAACACAGAGGAAGGGAGAGATTTTACTACCCAACAAGCAAGCATATTGCCTGACCCCTCCTCTCCCCCTGAGGACTCCACTTCGGCCCATGACATTCCAATAGCGTAGAGTGACATACAGATAGCGTAGAACAAGGCTCCACTATTCCTTCTCCCCTTGAAGAACAGACTGGTTACTTGAAGAGGACGGCCGACGACCTTACGCAGTCCCACCCTCGGCCTCCTCCTCTCCTCTCAATGAGTGGCATATTATCACCAGCCTCCACTACTCCTTCTCCCCTGCAGTCCTTTCGACTTCCGTAGCGACATCCTCTTGGGTGAAATGGATTGACAGGAGAACCGAGTGAGGCCTTTGAAGATAATGACGACGATGCTGATGCTAATGATAACGACGAAGACGACGACGACGATGATGATGATGACGAATACTGATGGATGTTTCATGGATTTTCTTTCGTCCTAGCGTCTCTGCGACAACAGATCAAATGCTCACATCCTTCCCCTGGCCACCCACGCGTGTCTCACGGGCAGCTGTACAGGCATGCTGGCCGGTATCCCGTCGCCAGAAGCAAGCGCCCCGACGACGCATCAAAGCAAGAACGATGTCTTGACGTGGAGTTCACCTGCTGCTGCTGCTGCTGCTGCTGCTGCTGCTCAACTCCACGACCTATCGACGACGACGACGACGACGAAGACGACCTCAGCAACGAGCTCTTCTCCCCCAACGTCGCTGCTTCTCTCCGCGCCGAGTTCCCCGTTCTTGGTGTCGACGCTGACTTGTTAAAGTCTGCAGCAGCGCCCGACGTGCAGGCTTCCCTACCGCTAATCACGGCAATCAACGGCCCCTCAAACATGTCCATCATCGCGGCATCATCCTCTTCGAAATAGTCGTCTTTCCCCTCTACTCCGTCACTGCTAATCATCGCACTGCGAGAAGTAGGCGAGAGGTAGGTCCTCCCACTACCAAACACGAACAGTCCTTCCTCTGTCAATGCCATTACCCGGCTTTCGTCCCCCCAGAGCTGATGGATGGATCTTCCTGTGGCCGCACTCTCTCCCTCTCCATCGCATCCTCCTGTGCTGCCGAGGGTGAAGGACGACACTTCCCTCCTCTCTCCCAGATCCCACTCCTTCACCACCGGCGGCAAGTACCTCCCCCCTCCACTCCTCCTCACCCCCGAGTAGCCGGCCAATATCGAGTCCCCAAAGCCGAACAGACAGTCGACAGGACCCGGCTCTGAGCTGACCATGTGCTGCGCCAAGCCGCCGTGCACCCTCCAGTCCATCACGTAGATAGAGCCCGAGTCGGTACAGAACGCCCCGTCGTGCCTAGCGCTGAACAGTAACGAACCCACCCCCTGGTGCTGATAATGCCAGCGAGGGTACCTTGCGCCGCAGCCCCCGAACATCTCGTCGGAGGAGAGCACGGCGGTCACCCGCTCGCCCTCGTCGACGCAATGAACCTGACCGACTTTACGGACCTTCGTGGTGGCCACATCCCACACAGCGATGCCGTCCTGCTCCGCGATCATCACGTGTCCATTGTACAAGCACTGAATGGGAGAGCACCGAGGGAGGGACGCGATTCTCTTCTCCACGTCGAAGTCCAACGCCAGGTCGCCGTCCCGGACATCAAAGAAGCAGACACGTCGCCCACCCGCGCGAGCGACGCCCAGCAGGCACTCGTCGGGCCGCGCCCAGCAGAGCCTCCCCGTGCCCGAGGACAGCAAACCACCTCCCCCTCCTCCTCCTCCTACTCGTGCTAGTGCCCCGCCTCCGCCGCTGTTGTAAAAGCCTGCAGCTTCGCCGGTCCCAATATCCCAGGAGCAGAACGACGGGCGCCAATCAGACACCACCACCGCTAGCTCAGCCATCTGCCCGTCCCGACCCGGAGCGCGCACCAGCCAGCAGTCTGCTGCCACGTCAGCAGCAGCTCCTTCTGGAACACGCAGGCACATCTTCTCCTGTTGCCAGACAAGGCAGAAAACGACAAAAATGACGGCAGAAAACGACAAAAATGACCCATCTTCTCGTCAGAAAAGGGCACTAAGAAGAAGGAGAATAGCAAACCACCGTACTGCGACACACAGGGGGAGGGGAGGGGGGGGGAAGGGAAGGGATCTAGATGTGTATAAGAGACAGGGGGAGGGGAGGGGGGGGGAAG